TGAATTTAATTACTACGAAGAAGGAGGTGAATTCAATTTCATCCACAAAAATCCCAACCACGAGAATCAATGAAATCCCGTCCTGTAAAATGACCTCCCTTTCAATCACTCAAATCACTCCTCCTCTCAATCTCACTTCAATTTTTTTGTTGTCACCAACAACTGATATCAGGGCGATCTTGCAGCAGCAAGTATGGCAGCAGAAAAACAAGTTGAGAGCTACGTTCAGCCAGCCATCCCGAGGTTCGATGGTCACTATGATCATTGGGCGATGTTGATGGAAAATTTTCTCAAATCAAAGGAGTTTTTTGATATGGTGGAGACGGGTTATGAAGAGCCAAATGAAGGCAAGGTACTCTCAGCTGGTCAACAACAATTGTTGGCAGCATCGAAGTTGAAGAACCTGAAGGTCAAGAACTATTTATTTCAGTCCATTGATAGGACTATCTTGAAAACAATGCTTCAGAAGAAGACATTCGAGGAAATTTGGGATTCTATGAGGAGAAAGTATCAAGGCTCAACAAGAGTTAAGCATGCTCAACTACAAGCCGTAGAAGAGACTTTGAAATTCTCCAAATGCAAAAGTTAGAAGGGACTTTGAAATTCTCCAAATGCAAAAGGGAGAAATGGTGAATGATTATATTGGCAAGGTTATAAGTCTTGCAAGTAAAATGAGGATGCATGGTAATTCAATCACGGAGGGTGCGGTCGTAGAAAATATTTTGCGATCATTAACTCCAAAGTTTGATTACATTGTATGTTCTATCGAAGAAGCAAATAATGTCGAAGAGATGCAAATAGATGAACTCCAAAGCTCCCTGTTAGTACATGAACAGAGACTCAATCATACAAGTGCAATAGATGAGATGACAGCCTTAAAGATATCCACACCAGGTGAAACTTCAAGCCCTAGAGGTAGAGGGCAAAGAAGAGGCAGAGGTCGTGGGAGAGGCAGTCGAGAACGAAGTGGAGATGTTGGCAGGTCAACAGATCTAGTCAAAAACGATTATGACAACAAAGGCAAGAGACACTTTGACAAGTCCAAGGTGGAATGCTACCGATGTAGACGCCTTGGACATTACAAAAATGAATGCAATTTTGTGGCTCCAAAAGGAGAAAAGAGATCAATCCAATTTTGTGGAGAGAAGAGAAGAAGAAACATTGTTAATGTTATTCCATGCTATGAAGGTTGCAAATCAAGGTGTATGGGTCGTAGACTCTAGATGCAGCAACCATATGACAAGTTGTAAGAAATTCTTCTCAACTTTAGATGAAAATTTTCATACTACGATTTCTCTTGGCAACAATTCAACTATCCAAGTGACGGGGGAAAGGAACCGTAGATATCAAGACTAGAAATGACTTTGTAGAGTCTATTTCTAATGTATTCTACATTCTTGATCTGAAGGTCAACTTACTTAGTATCGATCAGTTACAAGAAAAGGGGTATGTGATCACATTCCAAAATGATGAATGTGAGATTTATGACTCCAAAAGAGGATCGATTGCTAAGATGAAGATGACCACCAACCGTCTATATTCATTGACGTTAAATATCATCGCCAAAAGTTTGATGGTGAAGAAAGAAGATACCACCTAGCTTTGGCATTTTAGATATGGTCATCTACATTTAAGGATTAAAGACGTTGTCTTCAAGGAAGATGGTAATTGGGTTGCCAGATATAACTCCTCCAACAGAAATTTGCGAGAGCTGTGTAGTAGCAAAACATGAAAGAAATTCTTTTCTATCCGGAAAATCAAGAAGAGCTCAAGCAATTTTGGAGTTGATTCATTCAGACATATGTTGTCCCATCTCTCCCGCATCAAATGGTAACAAGAAATATTTCATGACCCTCATTGATGATTTTTTTCGAAAAACATAGACTTATTTCTTGCCTGACAAATCATAAGCCTTTGATTGCTCCAAAAAATTTTATGCTACTATGAAGACAGAAACTGGAAGAAGAGTCAAGACTTTAAGAACTGACAGAGGTGGAGAGTTCTGCTCGAACGAGTTTATTAAATTTTGTGAAGAGAAGGGCATAAGGAGGCAGTTAACAACAACATATACACCACAACAAAATGGTGTGGCCGAAAGGAAAAACAGGACCATTCTCAACATGGTTCGAAGTTTACTAAATAAAGGAGAAGTCTCGAAGGAATTCTGGCCAGAAGCTGTCGTGTGGTCCGTTCACATTCTCAACCGAAGCCCTACTTTTTCTGTTAGAGATATGACTCCACAAGAAGCATGGAGCGGAAGAAAACCTGTAGTAGACCACTTTAGAATCTTTGGGTGCATAGCATATACACACGTTCCTGATGAGAAAAGAAAGAAACTTGAGGACAAAAGTTTAAAGTGTGTGTTCCTTGGAGTAAGCGAGACCTCTAAGGCGTACAAGCTCTATGATCCCTTGACAAAGAAGGTGGTGGTAAGTCGTGATGTAGTCTTTGACGAAAAGAATACTTGGACATGGGAAGAAAAGATTACTGTGAATCAGCAGATTCCTGTAGATCTTGAAGAAGAACAAACTGAAGCCCCTATTTAGCCTCACTATGAGCATGGAGAGAGCTCATCAAAAGCCCCTATTCAGCCTCACTATGAGCATGGAGAGAGCTCATCAAAAGCTCAACAAGAAGAACCAGTAGAAGAAGATCATGATCATAATCAAAAAAATCCAAGAACAAGAAAGAGACCAAATTGGATGATTGATTATGAGATGGACTATGAATCAAGTGATACTGGTTATTTTGCATTCTTTATGGACAATGATCCAATTGTCTATGAAGAAGCGATAAAGGAGAAGAAATGGAAGGAAGCTATGGACAGTGAAATCAAATCCATAGAGAAGAACCAGACTTGAGAGCTCACTGATCTTCCTAGAGGACATAAAACAATCGGAGTAAAATGGGTTTTCAAAATCAAGTTGAATGAAAACGGTGAGGTGGATAAGTACAAGACGTGACTCGTTGCAAAAGGATACAAGCAGAAGTATGGAATTGATTATAAGGAGATATTTGCACCAGTGGCACGTCAAGATACTATCAGGCTCATAATTTCTATTGCAGCAGAGAAATCTTGGCCTATTTATCAACTTGATGTGAAATCCGCCTTCTTACATGGAGAGCTTCAAGAAGAGGTATATGTGGAGCAACCAGAAGGTTTTGTTCAAAAAGGCAAAAAGGAAAAAGTATACAAGTTGAAGAAAGCTTTGTACGGTTTGAAGCAAGCTCAGAGGGCATGGTACAGTCGCATTGATTCTCATTTTGTAAAGATGATATTCACTAAATGCCCGTATGAACATACGTTGTTTGTGAAAACTGAAAAGGGAGGTAACATTATCATTATTTGCTTATATGTTGATGATTTAATATTTATTGGCAATAATGAAGAAATGTTTGAATTTTTTAAGAAGAGCATGATGAAGGAATTTGAAAGGACAGATCTTGGTTTGATGAGATATTTTCTTGGAGTCGAAGTTACTCAAACTCCCGCAGGTAACTTTATCTGTCAGAAGAAATATGCTCAAGAATTACTTGAAAGATTTAAATGGGATGATTTAAATTGGATGAGCGCACATTTGAAACTCCATCAGAATTAGGTTTGAAGTTGCACAAGGATATTGAAGGTCGAGAGGTTGATAATAGATACTTCAAACAAATTGTGGGAAGTTTGATGTACCTAACTTCAACAAGACCAGATATCATGTATGCGGTTAGTATGATAAGTCGTTACATGGAGCATCCAACGGAAAAACATCTCAATGCAACAAGAAGGATACTTTGTTATGTAAGAGGAACCTTTGATTTGGGGTATTCTACAAGAAAGGAGATGATCCGAAGATGGTTGGCTATACATATAGCGACTATGCAGGTGATATAGATGATCGTAAAAGTACTTCAGGAAGTATTTTTATGATGAGTTCAGGAGCTATTTGCTGGTCTTCAAAGAAGCAACCTATTGTAACACTCTCAGCTACAGAAGCAGAATTAGTGGCAGCAGCAGCATGCTCGTGCCAAGCAATTTGGTTAAGAAAAATGCTTGAAATTCTTAATCAGAGGCAACCAAGTACGACGGTTATATATTGTGATAATATGTCAACTATTAAGTTGTCTAAAAATCCTGTGTTGCATGGAAGGAGTAAGCACATCGATGTTCGATTTCATTTCTTGCGTGATTTGTGTAAAGAAGGCATTATTGAACTCAACTTTTACCGAAGTGATGAACAAATTGCAGACCTATTCACAAAACCCTTGAAGCAACTATTGTTCGAGAAGCTTAGAAGAAAGATGGGGATGTGCAGAATCCAAGATGTATATCAAGAAGATGAAGTGAAGTCCTAAACTAATTTATGCATAATTCAGTTTAAGGGAGAGTGTTGAAGCTAATAATAGAAATTTGAATTTAGTTACTACGGAGAAGGAGGAGGTGAATTCAATTTCATCCACAAAAATCCCAACCACGGGAATCAATGAAATCTCGTCCTATAAAATGACCTCCCTTTCAATCACTCAAATCACTCCTCTCAATCTCACTTCAATTTTTTGTTGTCACCAACACACATTTCTTCTATATGTGAACGTTTCATCTACTTCTTCTATTGTAGTATCATTTTCATTCACAAATCTTCGAAAAAGAAAAAAGAAAATAAAAAAACAAAGTCACATATTCAGTACGTAACAATCCAATCCCACCACTAGTAGATATTGTCCTTTTTGGGCTTTCTCTTATGGGCTTTCCCTCAAGATTTTAAAACGCGTTTGCTAGAGAGAGATTTTTACATCCTTATAATGAATGTTTCGTTCTCCTCCCCAACCAATGTGGGATCTCACAATCCACCCCCTTCGGGGCCCAGCTTCCTTGCTAGCACATCGTCCGGTGTGGTCTGATACCACTTGTAATAGCCTAAGCCCGTCGCTAGTAGATATTGTCGTCTTTAGATTTTCCCTTCTGTACTTCCTTTTGTAAAAGGCGTCTACTAGAGAGGGGTTTTCACACCTTTATAAGGAGTGTTTTGTTCTTTTCTCCAACCAATACAGGATCTCACAACATATCAAGTTTTGCACATGAAGAGAACAAGCACAATCAATAAAATATTTGTTCAAAAGAGTCGAGTTGAGTTAAGCCGAGTCGATCCCGGTGGAGGACCAGAAAAGGAGAAACATATTTAGGAAATGAGAAGAGCAGCAAACTGATAGCCATTTGTCTTCAAGGCAACACATTCAATTGATAGCCATAATCCGTCTCTTTCCTCCCTCAGCCCCACAAACGTGAATGAAAAAGAAACACAGAACAGAAGAATTGCTATTCTTTTGTCTACCCAACAATGAAACCCAAAACTTCTTCACATTTCAAATACTTTCACCCCAACAAAGAACAGAACAAGTCTCAAAGAAGATGATAGAAATGGCATTAGAAGGAATCTAGGGATTTTGGTTATAGATAGAGAGAGTGGGAAAGGAGGTAAGGCATTGATTTAGTTGGTTTAGAGCTCGAGTGATCTCAAGAAAGGGAGGAAAGGGAGGGTCCAAATTCCTCAAATCACAGATCATTAATTATAGCTATTCTTTCACAATATCAAAGCAGATTTCAAGGTCAAATGAATCAATCGAAAATATAACAGATATTTAAATAAGCTGACAATATTACAGAAGAAGTCGCTTCAAATTAATCCTTCCAAGTTTCCATAATAGAACCGCAGAGATTGCCCTAACTTAATTTAACCAATAATGCTACGTATCCAAAGAAATTTCAGATAAATATTTAGGGCAAGATATTGCAAGGAAATCAATTACAGGATTTTGGAATGAATGAACAGAAGCCGAATGACCTGTTGGGGATATTGCTCCACATTTCGCTCTGGATCAATGGCACAATTTCTGCTAAAGTCGCAGTTGGCTGCAAAATCAAATCAAGAGATCAAATTAACCACAAAAAGAAACTCAACCATTTCGACCAGAAAGCATGATCAATTTATCAAGTTTATGCAAAACTGTGCCTCACACTATTGAGGACATATTCTATTTATATTGGCAAAAGATTAACTAATAGATCCGATTTCATAGGAAACTAACGAAGTAAGCCTATTCTTATGGCATGACTAACTTCAAGCTATTCTAATGGATTGACCAATTCTAACACAATTGAATTGAAGAAAACAGGGAACAAACCTTGATTCATCGCCAGTCGCCATTACAGCAAGAGATGGAGGCGGCGCCATTGCTGAACATCATTCAACTGGAAAGGAAGTTGTGAAGTGGGCTAAATGGTTTGTGAGCAAAAACAAAATAGCTTTAAGGGACTGCGGATATAAATTTGGAGGTTATACATATGATCATAGATGAAACTTTATAAAATTACAGATTTAACCCTTGAAATCTTAATTTTTAAAATTATTAAATTTATTAAACACAACTAGTTTTATCCGTATACTAATACAATATTTTTTTAATTTTTTTAATAGAATTGAGAGTACTTTAAAACTTTAAAATATTTTTAAAATTTAAATAAATAGTTTTTATCGCTTACTAATAATAATAAAATATTTTTAAAATATTATTTTCTTTGTTAAAGGAATTTTGGGATAGTTTTAAAATTAAAGTATTAATAGTTTTTATCCAAATTTTTAAATTTTTTTAAAAGTTAAATTAATATTTTCAAATAAAATATAAAATTTGTTAGTATTTTCTAATTTTTAAGAGTGAGATCATCACATAGATCACTGCCATACAACATCTTTTCAGGTCTTAATTTTTATCTAAAATTTTAAATAATTTTTATTCGAGAAAAATCCAACCCGAGTTTAGCTAGATCTAATGGCCAATTATCTCTATTTCTACTTTTTAGAATATGTTCACAATTTTAGTAAATTTTGCTATTTATTTACTTAGACTACACTTCTATCTATATATTTTGTTAATAATGCCTTATCATGAAAATCTTCATCATTAATAATTAGTTGTACTATAAATTTTGAAAGATTTAAACCATAATGGAAATTTTGAAATTGACATGAAAAATTACATTACATTATTAATTATTATTAGGATGCATATATTTTTTATTTATTTAAAATATACCATCAATGTAAATACCTTGATAATATTTCTGTCCATTAAAATATGGAATTTTAAATTCACCAAAACAAATTATTAATAAAAAGTAAAATAGTTCTTTTATATGAGATTTAAAGATCAAATTAAAATAGTTCTTACCATTTTTGTTCAATGAAAGTGGAGGAGCATGAGAATTCCAGAAGAAGAGGCCGCGGCAGCCACCCAAATGACATCGGAGCTGGCTTTTCTCTTGGCCGTCGTCACATCTCTGCAGCTGCATTTGGCTGTAGACGCCCTCGGCTCAGCCTCCACCGTCGCCATGGCATATGGAACCGCCACCGTCTGCGGCATTACTGCAGGAAACCAAAACCAGAGAATTCAATGCTACAAAGGAAATGAAGTGATCTCCATTCTACCCCATGTCTCCTTTGAAGCCATCTCCGGTGGGAAGAGCTTCTTCTGCGGTCTCCGAACTGGAGGGCACAGTCTTCATTGCTGGGAGACCAATGCCGGGTTTTCGAATCACAGTTTCCGACCTAAACGTATTTACTATAGCACCAGATTCCCATTGACTGATCTCGCCGTCGGCGATGCTCAAGTTTGTGCACGAGAGGTTGGCTCCGGCAGAGGCAGATGCTGGAGGGGACTAGACAAAGGTGGGTCTTTATTTCCTTCGCCTGATGCAGCATTGGAGTTTCAGACAATCACATCTGGAAGTGGGTTTTCATGTGGGATTCTTAAGAACAACAGATCCGTTTGGTGTTGGGGGAGCAATGGAATTGGCTCAAAGATTCAATCTCAGTTCAGGAATCTGTCAATGGTGAGCTTAGTAGCCGGAAAGTCTCATGTCTGCGGGTTGACGGCGTCGGGCGGTGCTTTAGTATGCAAGGGAAACAACGGCGCAGGCCAATTGGAGGTTCCTCCCAATTCAGCTCATGAATATTCAGCCCTTGCATTGGGGGCGAGCTTCACTTGTGGATTGAGGCAAAAGAACGGAGTGGTTTCATGTTGGGGTGGAGGAGCAGAAGAACTCAACATTCAAAACACGAGCAATGGCAGCGTTTCATTCGAGCTAATCACAGCAGGATCAAGCATGTTATGTGGGTTGAAGACAAGTAATTTGACAATAATGTGCTGGTTCAAGGCCAATAAATACTCACCGGCTGTTCTTCCATTGGGGATGATAATCCCTGGCCCTTGTGTTCAAGATCCTTGCAGCCTCTGCGGCGTCTATCCAAATTCAGCGTTTCTCTGTGATGGGTCTGGAAATATTTGCAAATCCTGCCAGGAAGAGCTCCCATTTGCAGTGCTATTGCCGAAGAATCCAAAATCTTCACCAAAAAAGGCCAGAAACGGGCTCACCGTGGCGTTTCTGATAGTTGGAGCAATTGGGGGTTTAGCCGGAGCTTGCACCATTTTGTTCTGTATATCAAACTGTTTAGCTGCATCAGATCATCAAGAGCTGAACATAAATCCATCCTCCGGTCGGTCATTTTCTCTAACGGAGCTTGCTGCTGCAACAAGCAATTTCTCCTCAGAAAACAAGATAGGAGCAGGGAGCTTCGGAGTGGTATACAAAGGCGAGCTATCGGATGGAACTGAGGTAGCTATCAAAAGAGGAGAAACCAAGAGCAACGAGAAACAAAACGCATTTAGTTCAGAACTAGCAGCGCTATTGCGGCTTAATCACAAACACCTTGTGGGCATGGTGGGTTACTGCCCAGAAAACGATGAGAGGCTTCTAGTTTATGAATACATGCCAAATGGTTCCCTCCATGACCATTTACACAACAAAGATTACGAGGTAACAGTACTAAATACATGGAAAATGAGAATCAAAATCGCATTAGACGCAGCCAGAGGAATCGAGTACCTTCACAATTACGCAGTCCCACCGATAATCCACCGGGATATTAAGTCCTCTAACATACTTCTGGACAGGAATTTCACAGCGAAAGTGTCCGATTTCGGATTCTCAATGATGCGGCATCCGGAAGCTTCAACGGAAAGCGCCGTCGGGGGTACAATCGGGTACATCGATCCGGAGTATTACGTATCGAAAATTTCGACGGCGAAAAGCGATGTATACGGGCTAGGGATTGTACTGCTGGAGATTTTGACGGGGAAGAAGGCGGTGTTCAGAGATGGCGGGGGTGAAGGTGTGGTGACGGTGGCGGAATTTGCAGTGGCGCGAATTGGGGGCGGCGAGGTTTGGAATGTGGTGGATAAGAGGGTTAGAGCGGCGGAGATGAAGGAAGTGGAGGCGGTGGAGATGGTGGCGTGTACGGCGGTGCAGTGTGTGAATTTGGAGGGAGAAGAGAGGCCGAGCATTACCGACATTGTTGGGAATTTGGAGAAAGCTCTTGCTCTCTGCAATAGCGGCGAACTCTGTGACAGGCTCTAATTCTCCATTTTCTTTCCTAATATTTCCGAGTTAATTAAAAAAACTTCTAAATCGATAATTCACAATATAACTATTTAAATATAATATTATAAAATATTTAATAAAAACAATAATATTTCATAAATAAAAATATAATATATTGTTCGTAAGTCAAATATATATTTCTAAATCAATAATTCACCATATAACTATTTAAATATAATATTATAAAATATTTTTTAAAAAACAATAATATTTCATAAATAAAAATATAATATATTGTTCCTAAGTCAAATATATATTTCTAAATCAATAATTCACAATATAACTATTTAAATATAATATTATAAAATATTTTTTAAAAAACAATAATATTTCATAAATAAAAATATAATATATTGTTCGTAAGTCAAATATATATTGTAACAAATTTGTAAGAAAAATTCATAAATTAAGACAAAATAAATGAAAATATAAGAAATAAAATAAAATAAATGCAAATTTTCAAAACATCCCATTAAAAATAAAATAGAGTTAAGAGAAAGGTTTCACCATTACTTATAGTTGTCAGCCAAATGCTTCTGTTAGTGTTAGCTAGAGATTTCCAGCATTCTCCTTTCTATTAGATGTGAGATCTCACAATCCACCCCCTTGAGAACCCGACGTTCTCGCTGGCACACTGCTCGTGTCTAACTCTATACTATTTGTAATAAATCTAAGTTCACTGCTACCAGATGTTAGTTTTGCCGTATGGTCGTCAGCCTCCAAAGTTGGGGAGAGGTCTTCTAATTATTGTCGCAATAAAAAAATATATGGAGAAAAAAAAATGAAAAACTCAAATTCAAATAGAAGAAAGGAGGCTTCATTCCATTTATTTATTTATTATTTACATAAATTCCATTTTTGGAGGTATAATTTCTCTCATTCAAATTCGAAGCGCATTAGGAGCTTCACATGCTTGTAGATCTCTCCCTTCCGGTTGTATAATGGCACTGCTCGGATTCCTGATCGGAGCTCTCTCACCGGCAGACATGTCTGGCCGGCGAAGTCATCTTTTCCAGAGGTATCGTGATCAAGAACTACAACTTGTAGCAAAGCCAATTCAGGAGCGCTTATTGAGAAACTAAACTCCTCGTTCCAAACAGGTACCCACTGGTCTTCTATCGGAATTGTTCTTTTCACCACTGTATCCTCTCGGACTCCGACTATTCTGATCTGAAATCAGTAAGAAAATCCATGTTACAGATATATAATACAAGTACAATCGCTAATCTGTCATTTGCGAATATTGATTTTTAGATTCCATCTCTGTTTGTTACCTTAACGTACAAATCTGGAGGCGAATAGAAGTCGAAATGTGAGGGACCGAATTCCAAATCCCATCCTTCTCCCATGTATACCTTTAGCTGTGTGCATTGCAATTGAATCATGTTTGTTTGTTCAATATTGAACATTTTGTATATTGGAGGAAATGATCAATTTGTGGCTAACTGACCTTTAAACGTTTTATCATAATCAAAGATGTTGATCTCGAAGTAGAATTCTCTTGTTCTGAGTTATTCAACAAGAAATCGGGTTTTTTAATGTAGCCACAACCACCATTGCCTCTGAACATTCCTTCCATGATCCACAAGTATTTCCCATATCCCTTCAATGTGCAAATCATTAGTGTCAGTGGATCCTAATATTCCTTTTCGCTCCACAACTTTTTTCCCCTAATCTCTCTCATTTTCGTTTGTTATTTTCACTTGATTAAAATGTTTTTATACTTGTTGCAGCCTTTGCCTTGACCCAAATTATTTAAACAATACTTAGTTGCTGAACAAGTCTACAAAGTGGCCTGTAAATCTGGATCAAATTCTATATATTTTTATCTCCTGACCTTTGTCTTATCAATGGAATCTGGCTTGTGTCAGCAGTCTAAGTTTTGTTCAAATGTATAGCTTAGCGACAAAAATGTAGAAGAGGAGTCTGAACTCTAACCTGCATATTAAAAGCAACCATTTGAGCCCCATGAGTCCAGGCAAGCATAGGATTGTAATTAGATGAGTCTAATCTTGAACCTTTTGGGTACACTCTCAGCAAATTCCTCTGAGTAAACCTAAGGCAAAGTTTTATTGAATATCTCTTAAGAAACATAGGAATACCGATTCTCCATTTCTGATGCTGGATATGGTCATCCCTTTTGTCATTTAGGTAAATGAGCACTAAATAAGAAGAATAAAAAGTTTACTTAACAATGCGTTTCCTTAGTTAGCTATTGTCTTTTAAAGTTGAGCTCTAAGAATTGGAAAGTTAAACGCCAACCTAAGCACAATTCAAGTGGTTAAGATATATACTATTGACTAAGAGGTCGGAGGTTTAAATCCCCACACTCCTGAGTGTTTTGTTGACCTCAAAATAATTGGAAAGCTAACCAAAAAGTTTGAATAATATTTTATACATTTAGGCAGCAGTTCAAGAATGTTTCATTCTCAACTAGGTGAAATTAGAGCAAAAACAAATATAAAACATGCTTGTTACAATAGAAGCTACTATATATTTAAAAAATGCTATCAAATAGGTATAATGTATGTTCATTCATTTTCTCTATGAATAAGTTTGCAGACTATGATTCATAGACTCAAAATTCATTCGCTAAATGATAGAAAAAATGTTAAGTGATATAATTATACCTGATAATATCGCGTCCGCAGTTTCCTGTAGCATTTTCAAGTTCTTGCTCACTCAGACTAAGTCTTGACACTTTTTCTATATCATTAAAGAAGGTCTGAAGATTTGATCCACGTTTCATCTTCTTTGCGTGAATGGCAATCAAACTCCTATATTCTGGAATAACAATCTCTTCATCTTTATCATCCTCTTCCAGATAATCCTGCAAGTCATAATGGGAATTGGAAATGAAACTGGCTTACTTTCTGCATCAAGAATTCTACATCGTGTCTACCAGAAAGCAAGTTAAGAAGATGAGGTGACTGTTGAAGTGTGAATCTTTCAGGTTCGTCTAAATGTTCTAGATTTTGTTACATCATTATAAGTTATTTGTTTTCATGAAAAATAATGAAAGAATAGGCAAAATATGATGCACACCTCATCCGTATCTTCTCGTGACATTGTACTCTCCCAAATGTCATCATCTGCTGTGTCTCTGCGCTTATCTGCTGATGGTTTTTCCTTGGTGCTCTCAACTTTAGTGTGCTCTGGTGGTTTGGTTGAAATAAGAATCCTGCCCTTCAGCGACTCTGGCGACGGGAATTCATTCAAGTCTTCAGATTTAGGAACGTAGAGGATATCCCCAAATGTTGTAGTAACCATCTACACATAATTACAAAGGTAAGAACAATTAATGACCCTTATAAAGAATGGAAGTGTGTGGTCCATTTGGTGAGTATTTTACCATTAATTTTATACTTTTAAATTTTATTTTTTGGAGTATACTTTTCAAAATTCTTGTAAGGTTTTAAAAACCAAGGCTTTGTTTAAAAAACATTTTTGTTTTTAAAAATTAAGTTTATAAAAAATGATTATTTTTTTATTTGTTTAAATTTTCACAATTTTTAAATTGTTTTTGAAATCTTAGTAAAATTTTGAAAATTTAAAAGCTATGCTTTTAGTTTTCATAATTTGGTTAGGATTTTAAAAAGCATTTTAAAATTATAATAGAAAACAAATAAAACCATAATTTCTAAAAACACAAAACAAATTTTAAAAAAAATTATTAAACAAGTCTTAAAAAACTATTATTATTGAAATTTGAATAAATTCAAAAGTATTATGCTTGGAGTATATATATATATACATATTTATATATTAGCAACTGATTTTTTTCCCAAAAGAATAAAACTAAGAAACAGAACTGTTATCAAAGAGGATCTAACTTAACAAGACTGTAAGCTCTATGTCTCACCTTGGCCACTTCTTTTCGAAGATCATGAGTGAGATGGTCCTCAAAAGTTATCACTACAGGATATTCAGAAGCAGTAAAAGCATGATCTTTAATTGCCCGCAGGCATTTGATGAGTTTCACAGGAGCTGTGAGTGTCCTGCAGCTCCATGGATATTTGGTTAGTTAATGCAGAAACTTCTTAAAACATAAACACACACATAACTTCTATTGCATTTCTTTCAATTTTCTCTTCATTATTCTCTACATAGCTCTTATTGCTAGTTTTTACCTTTTCCTACATTTTTATATGCACGAAAAGATAATATTTTCATCAGAAGGAGATAAGTATATCTAGAGTGTATCAGGGAGTTCTCATAGGAGTAGTGTCGTTAAGTTGATCCCTGTTTGAATTAGCACTTTATAAAGGTTAATTAACTTTAGGTCATACCCTCCATGAAGAACGTTTATGCCATTTTTCTTGGAACTAGGCCACAAATCCAACTCAATTGCTCTTACTCCTCTTTTCAGAGCCCTTATGATAGGAGTCACACTGCTAGCACTACTCAGTTGATTTCCTGTTAGGTAGGAGTTGTGGCCTGTAAATATGTAGTAGTGAGACAATGGGGCTCTCATGTCCTGATAAACCTGCATCCAGTTCTCAACTATTAATCAATAATATCATAGCTTCCTTTTCAAATTTATTAGATTTCTCAGTGAAAAATGAAGGTAACAGTCGATTGGTAGATGTGGTAGTTATACTTCCTTAACAATTAGACTTATTTTGGGCTCTTCTACTTAAAAACATTGTATTTTGACCCCTAGAATTTCACAAAATTCATTTTATTCCTCATGGTCATTCAATTTTTATTTTGAACTACATGGTGTTTAAAGTATAAGTTTGGGACGACAGATAAGATTTCTGTAGATACATTATATAATCTTGATGACCAGGGCTTGAATTAATTTTAGCAGCAGACCAAAATATAGTCAATATGCAAGTAGGAAATCAGACTTGGACCCTTTCTGGAAAAAGAAAAAATAGTGAGTTGTACTCCAAAATTGTTAAATATATATAAATATTAATTAACAGAATTTGAAAATTCTAATGTATTATAAAAGCGCATACTCTTTGTCTGAGCATTATTTAATAAGATCATGATTCTTCTCCAAAAACTTCAACAACCAAAAATAAATGAGAGATAATATAACTGAAACATACTAAAGGAAAATAATTTTCACTATTATATATATCAAGAAGATCATGATATAGAACATGAATCTTTTCTTAATAGATATTGTCAGGAAAAAGGGTTTCTTCGCACTTAAGATCAGAACTATTTTGTCAATTATTTGTCTAGGAAATTGACTTTGATCAAAAAAGAGTTAGAACTTGACCAGACTAGGGAGGGGAATTTGTAAGTTGTCCAGGAAAAAAAACTACTTTGTTTGACAAAATTCTTAAACAGAAAACCAGGACTTGTTATGTAAATTATTTTAAGAAATGTGGCCCGCCTAGCATGAAGTGTTCAATATTAATGTTCATAGCGAACTCACTGTTCACAAACATATAATTTTTGAATGAAAAGGAAAATCTGTGTTATAAAAGAACTGATTGTCTTCGTCAATACTGTGATATTCATATAAAAGAACTGATTGTCTTCGTCAATACTGTGATATTCAAATATATTTTAATTCATTTTTATCTCTGAATGATTCTCTGGTTTAAACTATGGTGTGACATTGCAAATATTGTATATTGGTCTGAAAGGTAAAAAGAATAAAAAGAGATTACCCCTTGTGAGGGCGAGAAAGCAAGATTAAGTTCTCCGAGAAGATATCGGAAGAAATCTTCGAGACGAAGGCCTCTTCTCTGGAAGATATTGAGATGCTTGAGATTGTCGAAGATCGCATGAGCTTTCATCTCAGATTCTTCTCCTTGAACCTCTTCCAAAAACATCTGCAATTGATCAATGTTCATTGTGCCATTTTCTGAGTATTGATCAAACACCCTCTTCACATCTTCTGGTGCTTCTGCTACATTTGTCCTGAATCTTCTCCTGAAACAGAAGCAGACCCTAAAACTGTGCTTATACATTTTTTACAATGACACAGAGAAGACACCAAATCTGCACTCTTTATGCCATTTTCTTCTGTTTATCCTGTTGATGATACTTATCTGTAGAAGAAAGAGAGGTGGGGGGAGCTTCTCTTTCACTCCCTAAAGAATGACCTCCAGCCAAAGTTGGAATCTGTGTTCATGGCAAGAGGTTCCTTTCTTAGAGAGGGCAATTGTGGAACTAGCAAGAGATTGCTTTTACTCTAAGAAAGGGAACTGTGGTTCCTAATCTGGCAACCTAGTTTACATTGTAGAATAGGCTGTTGCTAGAATTTTGGTTGTCCGATTGAGCCGTCTAAATCCTAAATATAGGTATTGTTTGAACTTCAAAGGATCTGATTCTTGAGTCTTTTTATTTGATTTTGTACATTAAGAGTCTAATTCTTAACAACATACTGTTAGCTCAGCAATTCAGTAAAGTGATTTTGTGAGAACTCACATCGGCTGGAGAGGAGAATATTTGGAAGGAGAATGAAATATTTTTTATGAGGGTGTAGAAACCTCTCCCTGGCAGACGCGTTTTAAAAACTTTGAGGGGAAGCCCGTAAGGTATTGCCTAAAAAGGACAATATCTGCTAGCGGTGGGCTTGGACCATTACAAATGGTATTAGAGCCAGGCATCGGGCGATGTGCTAGCAAGGAGGCTAAGCCCTGAAAGGGGGTGGACACAAGGTAGTATGCTAGCAAGGACGTTGGGTCTCGAAGTGGGGTGGATTGGGGGGTCCCACATCGATTGGAGAAGGGAACGAGTGCTAGCGAGAACACTGGGTCCCAAAGGGGGGTGGATTGTGAGATCCTACATCGGTTGGGGGGTGGATACGAGGTAGTATGCCAGCAAGGACATTGGGTCCCGAAGGGGGGTGGATTGGGGAGTCCCACATCGATTGGAGAAGGGAACGAGTGGCAGCAAGGATGCTGGGTCCCAAAGGGGGGTGGATTGTGAGATCCCACATCAGTCGGGGAGGAGAATAAAACATTCTTTATAAGGGTGGAAACCTCTCCCTAGTAGACGCGTTTTAGAAACCTTGAGGGAAAGCCCGTAAGTGAAAACCCAAAGAGGACAATATCTGCTAATGGTGGATTTTGACCATTACAGATTTGATCAGCTGCATTCATTAGGAAGGAAAGATATCAAAGAAACTCGCAATTCTGTTCATAGATCCATTTATTCTCGTGGCTCTACTTTGCTTTACAAGAATAATCACTCTTTAGGAAGAAGGAATCTGATTTTATAATATTACAGAGGCATCAAAGAAGGAAAGGGAAAAAGAGGAGAGAAAAGTGGAAGACCCCATATTCGATGCTTCACCCCTACCCTACGAAAAATGTAAATCCAGCTCATTCTGGTCAAGGAACAACAACGAACCCCACCACGAACAACGGCTGACAGAAAAAACTCACTCCTCTTAGATGTTTCTAAAGGAAAAGAGATCGTATTCTCAGGAAAACTCGAAGCGCATTAGAAGCTTTACGGAACTGTACTTTGATCCTTTACGGTCAAAAAGTGGAACAGCATGGATGCCTGGCTTCACTTCAGGAACGGGCAGACAGTTTTGTCCTCCAAAAACATTCTTATCTGAAATGTTATAGCTATACACTTCAATTCGAAGTAAAGCCAGTTCAGGAATGGTCAAAGGAAACGAAAACTCTTTGTTCCAAACAGGGCTCCAAGTCTCCTCTTTGATATCTGTTTTCTTTATTATCTCATCAGCTGGAGCTCCTGCAATTCCAATCTGTATAGAATAAACTCAGTTCTGTTAACAATCTTTGCTAGAACAATGGACTTGGGTTAGCTAGACTGCCATTCATTCGAAACTTACCCGTGCGTAGAAGTCGGGAGGGGAGTATAAATGAAAGTGGGACCTTTCAAAATCCAAATTCCAGCCAACACCCATGTAGATTTTCACCTGCATTTGCAAGATAATGTTTTCTGAGAGCAAGTTCAGCCGAACACGATATAAGACCCGATTTGGCAAACACCTACCTTCATAGTTTTTTTAACTGGCAAATTTGCATTAGGATCAAACACCTTGCCATGGGGATCAACTGTCAGTAGAAAGTCAGGTTTTTTCACATAACCACAACCTCCGTTCGATTGAAACATCCCACGCATTAAGCTGAGAGACCTTCCATGTCCCTGCGACGGTCCAACTAAGTTTATTTTTTAGATGAAAAGGGCAGTGTTATTGTTTTATCCCAGAGAAAAGAAAATACCTGCATATTGAATGCAACCATCTGGGCCCCATGTAACCAAGCAGTCTGTGGCTTGTAGTTCGAAGAGTTTACCCGAGTTCCCTTTGGATATATCCTTAACATGTTCGTCTGGGTGAATCTGAAAGCAAGAACACGACAAGATTCGTGTCAGTTTGGAAAATCATTGTATACAGCAGTGAATAATTGGAAAAGTAAGCTTGTTATTGTTACCTTATGACATCCATTCCATGAGATTTAGTTGCCTTTTTTACTGCCTTTTCACTCAAGCTAAGGCGTCTAACCTTAGCAGCTCCAACTTTTAGAGCTTCCTTCAAACCCCCCTTCGGTTTTCCAGCATGAATGGCTATTAGACGTTTGTATTCCGATACACCTGTAGCGTAAGATTCGTAATCACTGTCGTCACTCTCGCTGGATTCACTCTCACTCTGCAACCCAATGGAGTTGTATACTTCATCAAGATACTGGAACCAGAAAATGACTAGAAAAACACAGCTAAAATGTCGTAAATTTCAACACAAAGCAGACCGTGTCAACCCCATCATCATCGTCAGTTTCATCATCACTGGATGAATTCTCCCCTTTCACATTTTTGGATCTGAGGTATTCTTTAGGGGGCTTTGTTGAAATGATAATCCGATACTTCAATTCTTCTGGAGAAGGGAATTCCTGTAGATATTCCGCTTCTGGAAAGAACAGCATGTCTCCAAATGTTTCCTTTATGTTCTGCAAACAAAAACAAGCATCTTCACCGTTAAATCTCGTACCGTGACCAGAACTACTCTTTCATGGGGGAGAAAAAGATAGCTACCTCAGCTGCTTTAGCTTGAAGATCAGGAGTTAGGTGGTCTTCTAGAGTGATTATAACAGGATATGGTGATGCTATGAAAGCATTCTCTTTAATAGATTTGAGACATCTAACAAATTCCACAGGTGTTGTCAAGGTCCTAAATCAAAGATTACAAATTCAACTTCGGTCAGAAAACTTCTTTCTCCTCCATATATGAACAAAACTCCATTGATGAAAACTATTCTCTCACCTTCCATGAAGAACATCTATGTCATCTTGTTCAGAATTTGGCCACAAATCAAGCTCCACAACTCTCACGCCGCTCTTCAGCGCATTTATAATCGGAACATCGCTTGAATCACTGCTCAGTTGATTCCCAGTCAAGTATGTGTTGTGGCTTGTGTAAATGTAATAGTGGGACAATGGAGCTCTCATATCCTGATGAACCTGTAAGTGTTGAACACTAGCATGGCTAAGAAAATTCAGATTGCAGGAAATGTTCGAGGATCCAAACCCGAACTCCTACCCAATCTGAGGAACAAGACTCAGAAAAATCAAATCTTCCAAGTTGTAAGGCAACAAAGAAATGAGAGAGACTAATTTCTCACCTGATCAGAAACCGGTGGATTGAGATCCATAGAGAAGAGATAGTAATAGAAATCATCAAGAGTGAGAGTATGTCTCGTGAGTTTAGAGATCACGTGATGCCGCCGCTGCAGCACGTGCTCAACAATCCGTTGAGCATCGGCCAGTGATGCCGTCTGATCTCCTTGAAACTCAACCAGAAACGACCGCAGCTGCTCGGCGGTCATGTTGGCGGAGGTGCCACCGGTATATTTGATAAATGCGTCTTTGACTTCTGGTGGAGGCTCTTCTTTGGACATCTTAAATCTTCTAATGAAACAGAGACAAACTCTGTAATTTCCCATTGAGAGAAAGAGAGAGAAAAAGGGAGGATTGGAATGAAACTGGGAAATGGGTTGATTGATTTGGATCACTTTGAAATATGTTTATTATATATACGCAGAAGGGAAGTTTTTGGTATACATTTTCAAAACAACTCAGCCACCAGGAAAGCAGCCATGGGTTGAGATCAAAGACTCCGAGTTTAGACTCTTTCTTTCATGTTATTGGCGCTCTTTTTTCTCTTTTTTCTCTTTTTCACCTGATTTATTCCCTTCCAAAAGCCACGAATTTGGGTGCTTCCACTTGGCCACGCTGTGATCCTGTTCTACTGTTCCACTCACGCATACTAAAAGCATATGCCTTTTGCCCTGTGAAAATGGTATCATACCTTCATTGTTTTATGGTTATTTCAATTTAGTCCTCAATCTCTAGACTTCGGTATAAAAAGTGCCCATTGACTCTTTGTGGTGTGAAACTTTGTTCTAATTTTGGTCAAAATGTTCTTAGGGAGACAAGGAGGTGGAAGAGTATGGGGAGAGAGAGAGTGGGGGAGGGAGAAATTTTATTTAACTATTTTTGCTTAATTAAATTTTATTTCTGAAGTGATGCTTAGGTGAAAACTTAGAAAGCATAAAAGTTATTTTCCCTTTTATTTTGGACTATTACTTTGTCAATCCTTGTCTTGGTTGGTAAACTTCTGATTCATACTGTTACTTCGTCATGATTTAAGCATTAATGTGTTTATATGAGCATGCGTTGGAGTCACAAATGTTCATGATGTATTTGGTGAGTTATTATGTAGTTAACTTTTTGAAGTAAGGAAGTTAGACAAACATCTTGAAAGTTTGAGATTAATTTTTAAGAGTTTAGGAACTCAAAATTGAAAAAAAATTATATGTTTGGTCTTATGATTTCAATTACGTTACATTTGGGATTTACATTTACAGTTTTTCTATAAACTCTCATGGTCTACTCCTCTCAACAATTCTCAACAATTCTTTCATTGAACAAAGTACACCACCATAGAGTCTCTCTTTGATCGAGACTCCTTCTCTAGAGTCCTTGAACAAAGTACACTATTTGTGCTACGTTTGAGTCACCTTTAACTACATATTCAAGGCTTACAACTTCTTTGTTCGAATCTAGAGAATTTTATTGGTAGGGCTAAGTTAAGGGGATGAATGTGATATCCTATTAGGAATCATAAACCTCCCCAATGATATGATAGTGTCCACTCTGAGCATAGGCTCTCATGGTTTTACTTTTGATTTCTCAAATTGCCTTATACCCATAATCTTTCTCTTAATTAGCCAATGTCGGACTACTACTCTTACTAATTAGCGTATTTTAATCTGGATTTATGCATGTATTTGTTGTTTGCATAAATTTGTTCTAACTTGGTTTCTTATTCTAATTCTTCTGTTAATTTTTTTTTTTTTTTTTCATTTTAATGTTAAAATAATTAATTTAGGAATTCATTCCCATAAGAATAAAGTGATTGGAACTTCCAACAAAAATAAAAAAGGGAAAGGAAAGTTGGTAAGGTGGGAAACCAAATTAAAAAAAAAAATTATAAAACTGTAAGTGACTTCTTGAGAAGATGCCATCTTTATTATAAAGAGTAATACATATTTTGGAAAACATTTAGAATCTTAATTATATATTTAAAATTGGCTTCCACTTCATTTTAATTTTCTCTTTAATCTCTTCATCTTTTTTGTTTTACATGTTCCAATCAAATTCTTATTGCCTCCCTCATAGAGTGGTGTTTATATATGTATGTATGTGTGTATATATATATATATATATATATATAATAGGTTGGGTTGATACGAGAATTTAGTCATAGGTCTACGGAAGTACTTAGTTGAGGTAGCTTTGACATTGGGATGATTTACAAGAAACAAGATCATATGGGTGTGGTTGATGTTTGAGTCACTATTTATATCGAAGTGATGTTGAGCTGAGTTAGTGTTGTCCATTGTCTTATAATAGATTTTTACTTGATACTGCAATGAGGATTCTATGAATAAGGTATCAAGTGTCATGGTCAAGACGCCTTGTCAAGTTCAATAGGCTTATGTCCTCTAACTCTCTACTCGTGCCTCCTCGACTCAATCAGTCACACTACATGTGCATTCTTCAAGAGTGAACTTACTCTAACAAGTTCGAATTTTCATTTTTAAAATTAAAAACTCATGCACTTCATTTGACTTGAGATAACTTATTCAATCTACAAAGTAAGATTTAGAAAAATTGACCATAAAAAAAAAATCAAATTTACTAAAAAAATAATATTTAAACATAAGCATCAAGGAAAGCTCGGAGTAAGAGTGTAAATCTCGAAACTTGACGACCAAGTAAAAACTACAAAAACCAAACTCGAAATTTAGGGGTAAAAACTTTACGAAAGAAGTAATTTTCCTATTTGACAATGATTTTTTTTCATTTATTTATTTATTTTAGAAAAAATACATAAAAGAAACTAATTAAAAATAAATTGAAAAACGTAAGTATATGTCGAGAGCGGTGAAATCATAAATTGTTTATGCTCGTGTCAAAAATTTATTTTGAGTGTTTGGTGACCAACAATCAAGAAGAATCCTAGAAAAACATGATTTTATAATATAAAGTTTTTATTAGTGTCGTATATTACTCGGTTATTAGTATAGGGAAGGTTGGAAGGTTGTATTAAAGAGGTGAAATATTCACTAATATAATAATACATTGTGATCAAGATAATTATATGAAGCATTATTCTCGTTTAAAATCTGCATACCTTATACTATTATAATCTGAGATAAACAATTAATTATTAATTATAAAATTAGAAAATAACCCTCAATATACATTTTTTTTAATTAATGCATTACAATTATTTATGGGGAAAAAATTTAAACCGCTTAAAGGGTACTAAAATAAAAAAATAAATGGTCCAACACGTTTTGAAGTGAAATTCCCTTACTGCCCTTTCCCTCAACTTTCTAGTTATTTATTCATGTCGCGTGTTTTTAAATAAAAATATGTGAATGAAAAGTGGCCTTCAGATTAAATCAAAATAAAATTGAAAAGAGAGAATCTAAATCAAACTGTGGAATATTTTGTGAAAAGAAACTAATGGGATATCATATTTGATTTTAGTGAAATTATAATATATCTTTTTATATCTAATTATTTATTTTTTATTTATTTATAAATTTTGATTTTTTTTGGTATTAATGCATGTAATAATATTGTTGATCATACTATTTATATAAATTTTTTTTTACACAGCAAACACTGTTACAAAAAGTTTAGGCAGCATTTAAAAAAAAATGGTTGTATATAATAATAATATTTTCGTGTTAAGTCATCCATCACCCGTCATCTTTTATTTTGTTCTTTCTTGGTCGTACTTTTTAGTTTATCCAACTTAATCTTTGAAAACCCAAATAACTTAACCCGACCCAAACAAAAGTACTATTTAGTTCATTTAACTTCTTAATCTTTGAAAACTCAAATGACGTAACCCGATCGAAACAAAAGCTATGACTTGGGTTGCCCACTAATCAACTAACTCAAATTTTCGAGTTGTTCCAAAAACATGTCTAACTAACTCAACTCATAAAAATTACATAGGCACTACTATAAAATATAAAAATTGATTGAAAGTGATAGGACTTGCAGATTTGACTCAACTGTCTGCTTGGTTTGTTTTTTTTCAAGTGAATTAGAGAGGCGGATCTGATTGATACCCATTTGCCGATTGGTTCCTTTCATGTTGGTTTTACAAAAGGGGTGAAGATCACCAAAAAAAACTCTCATTTGTTGAACGAGAGTGTTGCGCGCTTGCATTGTATACCTAAATAATAGAATCAGTATCAAGCAAGGCAGGTACAAGCCAAATCAGGCTCTCTAAATAGACTGAGATCAGAGTCTCAGATACATCTTTTACACAAGCTCACAATAAATCCTCTATAGAGCACTATAATATAAACATTACTCTAAAATGGAAGAAAAAACATACAAACTTCAACTCTGAGGCTTTCCCTGCAGCCATTTCTTCCACCTACATCGCCTTCCTCGTCTCTTCTTGCTGCAACCAACTGTAAACGCTATCGCTACCGGCACGGTTGAGCGAGCATGGAGGGACCAAAGAAGCCGAGGTGGCTGACTTCTCGAGGAACTGCCTCTGTTTCTCATCAGCAATGCAAAGCAAGGACTCAGAACACACTTCTAAAGCTGATGGGGGCGGGGTCGGCTTGAAGTCCAGAAGCTTTGAGTACTCTGTGATTAGCTGAAACATGTAAGCATAGACGGTGTCCATGCTCAAGCTCTCCATGAAATTCTGTCCCTGTTGTCCTATGGCCTCGGCCTGTTTTGGACATACATTTTATACGTATCATTCTTAAACATAGCCTCATATCGCTCAATACACTCCATACTTCCTGATCAAAACGAGTGGAGATTCTTTTGAACATATGATAGAGAAAAAATAACATACTCTACGGGCAGATTTGGTTCATGATTCTAATTCGAATAAGTTTGGGGCTCAATGTCCTCACTGTCACACGTTCCTCTCTCCAATTGATATGAGATCTTACATTCCACCCCCTTTGGGGCCAACATCCTTGTTGGCACACCGTTCAGTGTCCACTCCCTTTCAAGGCCCAACATCCTTACTGGCACACCACCTAGTGTCCACTCCCTTTTAAGGCTCAACATCCTTACTGGCACACCACCTAGTGTCCACTCCCTTTCAAGGCTCAACATCCTTACTGGCACACCACCTAGTGTCCACTCCCTTTCAAGGCCCAACATCCTTACACACCGTCGGGTGTCCACACTCCCTTTCGGTGCTCAACGTCCTCGTTGGCACACTGTCGGGTGTCCACACTCCCTTTCGGTGCTCAACGTCCTCGTTGGCACACTGCCGGGTGTCCACACTCCCTTTCGGTGCTCAACGTCCTTGTTGGCACACCGCCGGGTGTCCACACTCCCTTTCGGTGCTCAACGTCCTCGTTGGCACACCGCCGGGTGTCCACACTCCCTTTCGGTGCTCAACGTCCTCGTTGGCACACCTCCGGGTGTCCACTCCCTTTCGGTGCTCAACGTCCTCGTTGGCACACCGCCGGGTGTCCACTCCCTTTCGGTGCTCAACGTCCTCGTTGGCACACCGCCGGGTGTCCACTCCCTTTCGGTGCTCAACGTCCTCGTTGGCACACCGCCGGGTGTCCACTCCCTTTCGGTGCTCAACGTCCTCGTTGGCACACCGCCGGGTGTCCACTCCCTTTCGGTGCTCAACGTCCTCGTTGGCACACCGCCGGGTGTCCACTCCCTTTCGGTGCTCAACGTCCTCGTTGGCACACCGCCGGGTGTCCACTCCCTTTCGGTGCTCAACGTCCTCGTTGGCACACCGCCGGGTGTCGGCTCTAATACCATTTGTAACAGTCCAAGCCCACCGCTAGCAGATATTGTCTTCTTTGGGTTTTCCTTTCAAACTTCTCCTTAATTTTTAAAACGTGTCGGATAGGGAGAGGTTGACTTAAAACTACAAATCTACCTCAAATTTGTATCAATGGTTAGTCTAGCTTTTTAAAGTTTCAAATTCACAGATAAAACCAAGCCAATACTTCTCTATATAGTACAATTGCGGGAAGAAGAAAGATATAGTGATAACCAAGAACCAAGAACCAAAAAAAGAAGATAATGAATACCTCAGATAAATGATCATTTCCCCAGTCAACAGCATGCTTAATAGACTCGCACATATTATCGAAGGGGATGGGCCAGTAGTTCTTCAAAGGATCAAGACCACGGCTGAAGAAATCTTGATATAGGGGTGAAATAATCAAAGACATTGAACCACATGAAAGAATGTACTTCAAGCTCACAGACCAAGCGAACCCTTCAGCATAGATTTTATACCTGCAGAAGCAGACAAACACATGGTGGGCTCAGCTAAGACAACAAAACTGACATGTCTACGTCTCCTAATAGCTGAATTTGGTTAACTATTCAAAAGAATCTTCACCGGTGGTTGCATTGTTTAGATAGCTTGGACTGCTCAAAACCATCTCTTGCTTCTTGATCCCAGTCCTTCCATCAACAGAATGGTTATCTCAGTTCTCAACAATTAATTGTTCACTTATAATACAAAAATGCAGCAAGAGAAATTGAGGGTTCCAGTTTGAACCTGACGCATGATCTGAGCACCCCACTTTATTGAGTGATTGCAAGTCAGCAACTCGGTACGAACAGGGGAAGCAACATCTGGATTTCCCTTCCAATATGCTCGAGGTAACTTGCTCGACCAATTCGAGCTTTTTGAACTTTTCTTGATATCTTTAAACTCTTCCCCCCATGATCTTATGTTCACTTCTGGCCTGCATCAGATTCCCACATCCATTGATGAAATATAGCATAAGTTTCCCCATCACATAACATAGAATTGTTTGAGAAAAACACCAACCAAGACAAGAATTCTAAAAGTAATATGATCAAATTGCTTCAATAAAATCTTATATTTTAAAAAGTTTATAATAAATTCGAGTCTATCTAGTCTCTATATCTTATAAACTTTCAAATAAGTTTATAAACTTTCAATTTTATGTTTAACAATTCATATTAACTCTATGCAGCATGCTATTCGGTGTATTTTTTTACCTTTGATCTTTAGTAATTGGACGAAAGGTCAATAAATCTAAATACTATTCTTTCAAACTTAATCCAAACAAGAGTCCTAATTAAGTCCATGTCGATTTTTAATCCACTATTTTTTTTAAGATCTATTTCAAAAGTAATTTTAAAAAGTTTACCATAGTCGCTAAAAGAAAGAATGAATGAATATTTTTTAAATAAAAGGCAGAGTTAGTATTTTTTATGGTTCAAAAGTTTTCAGACAAAAAGTTAAAATTGAAGCATGAGACAAATCAAATGACCAAAGCAGTGAAAGGATATTATGTCATACGCATAACATACCATCCCCAGAAAGACCAATCGGGAAATGGAATGTCAAAGTGAGCGTCGGTCGTGCAATACCGAAACAGAGGCAGCGGCATGTCTTTGTTCTCAGTCCGATTGATAGTCGGCCTGTCCATACAATCAAACATCATGTCCACATCCGGCACCATTCCAGGGAACCTTCTCAGCAATTGAACCAAACCCCAGATCGTGAAAATCGCCCTGCTCTGCACACAAGCATAATACATATCCACATAAAGCCTACCCTCCACGATCACAACACGAAACGCCGCAAATTTCATAGATTCATCCAAGTGTTTCATCGATATTCGGCTTCGAGCCCACGGATCCAGATCGTGATGAATCCAGCGGAAGAGTTCAGGGCATTGGTGAGTCGAAACAGCGGAATGCAAAGGTAATCGAGTAGCAGTGTTGTTGGCGTAGCGGCAAGCGAGGTAAGAGCAGTGGATGATCTTGACAGTTCTGGCATGGCGAGTATCTTCGCTGAAGATTTTTGGCGGGAACAAATGCCATGGGGTTGGATCCAAGTTGTGGCCAGCAACAGTCTTGGTTTGAGCAGCAAAGTCATCCACCTGAAACACAGCAAAGAAATCAGAAATGGAATCAGCACACAAGGTGTTCGAAGAAATGCTGCAATAAAACAATGGAGTGGCAGACCTTGTAGCAGACGAGGAAAGTAAGGGCAAGGAAGGAGAGGGCGACGACGGAGGGGAGAATGTTGGAGGGAGTGCGGGAGGAGAGAGCGCGGGATGTGGGAGGTCTATGTAGCGGAGCCATGGCGGAGATGTGAGGATCTGCATTGTGTGATAAGGTAATGGAATGGGAATTGGAAAATGCCTTATTTGGAAACTCAATTTTAGAGGCTCACATTATGGTTCGTCCGTCTTTTCGGTGGACAGGTAAGATTCAAATTTCTAATAGTTGCACAAGCTAAAGTATGTATGAGATGGAGGGTCATGATTACATGGGCCACTAGATATGGTTCGTTTGGGCCCGTTATCAGTAGTGAAAAAATGTTTTGTTCCCCTCTCCATCAGTGCTGGGATCTCACAATTCAACCCCTTAAGAATTCAGAGTCCTTTTAATCGAGATGGGATCTCTCTAGCACACTGTTCGGTGTTCCCAACAAGGTGGGATCTCATAATCCACCCCCCTTAAGGGCTCAAAGTTCTCGCTAGCATATCACTCAGTGTCTTTAATCGAGATGGGATCTCACGATCCAACCCCCTTAAGGCTTAGAGTCCTCTTTAGCATACCATTCGGTGTCCCCAACCGAGAAGGGATTTCACAATCCAACTCTCTTAGGAGCTAGAGTCCTCGCTAGCACACAACTCGATTTCTGACTTTAATACCATTTGCAAATGGCCCAAGCCCATTACTAACAGATTTCGCCTTTGCCCATTATGTAAACGAATATAGTAAAAATAACATTTGTGCTTTCTTTTAACCAATGGCTAAGATTCTATGTATTTATACTTCGTTGTCGCACCCACAATCGTTAGCTTAGTCACAAGGACGGGGATGTCGAAGGTGCGATTGAAAGAAAATTGAGTTATTAAACTTACGAGGATCCGGGTGAACTATTAATTTTTTAATACAATATATGTCATGATGGATGCATTTGCTCAATTGACACGTCTAAAAGAATTAGACTTATTGGATATCAACGATTCATGCAAGGATACTATATGGTAGCTTACTTTAGTAGTAAATTTAGCTCGATATCATCATGTAATTTCCTTTAACTAGTCAATCAAGTGAAATTCGGATTTCATGGACAATATTGGCGTATGCTCGCTTCAGAAAAAGTTTGAAAGAAATATTTTAGAAAACGAGGAAGAAAATATGATTAAAACAATTTTAAAGAAAGAAGCAATAACAACAGCTTTGATAGCATATAACTCGAATAAGAATAATTGACAATTGGACAACAGGATTGTAAGCAACCTTAGACAACACATTCTAGACAAACATGACTGAGACATTAGACATACGGTCACAAGCAGCACGCCTTGAACAAGCATGACCGTGACAACTACGTAAAACTATTTTTTTTATATTTTTAAATATTAAACTTAATATATATAAATAAATGGTATTTTTATTTTTGTGGCAGAACGTTTTTTTAGTGTACTTTAAAAAAAATAATAATAAAGCTATAATAATTTTTAGAATAATTATAAATATAACTAGACATAACTTAAATGGTAGTAATAAATGTATTTTGTCATTTTCATTAATCATCAAGCATTGATAATTAATTAATAATCTACTTTTTTTTTTTTCATTAATCATCAACCAATCATTAATATTTTACATTTTTTATTTTAATTAATCGTGATTAAGAATTGCAATGATTTATTTTTATTGCAATTATAAAAAAATATTTCAATTTGGGCTAAATTAATAAAAATACAATTTCAAAATTTTTATTAATACTCTCCATAAAAAAAAAAAAATCAAAAACACCTTTAAATTTTTTTTAAAATTTTAAAATACTTTTACAAAAAATATTTAAACTTAAACTTAAAAAATTTAGAGATAATTTATGAGTGTCAAACATAAACAATTTTCGTCTATATATTGATGGTAAGAATATGACTCAATTACTCCGACTACTAAACTTAAACCATAAAGATTGGATTGGATTAAAAAAAAATTTAAGTTAGATTGAATTTTTGAAAAACTAAAAAAAATTCGGTTCAAATTCCAAGTTGACGTTTTGTTCGTCAGGTCAACCTAATAGCTCAAAAATAGAATTATAATTCAACTCAACCTTAATCCAACCCGTGTACACTCCTAACTAAATTTTGGGAGTGAAATTTCAGTTCCCAAAACGCCCTTCCTAAATGAAGCAGCAAAAACCAGAGGAAAGTACAGAACTTATCCAAGCCTTTCTGTGCTGAATTGAATGATTTCAGATTGACTTATAAAAGTTCCAACAAAAGCTATGGATCTCTATTTGTTTTGTGAGATTCTGATGGGAAAATTTCAGCTGCTTCCTATTTGCTCCTCATAGTAACTTGTGTTGCCCATTCACTTGCTCCACTGTTCTGGGAGAAGCTGGCACATTCAGTTGGCACTCTGACCTCACCGTCACGAGCAATTTTTTAAACTGTTCGTGTCCTTCTGGCATCTGATGAATCGACTTTCTCTCTCCCGGGTCACACGAGTCGATGTGCTGCAGTTTTCTCATCTCTACCTTGTCCTTAATTCTCTGCAAGACAATTGGAAGCAATGAGTTCACTAGAACAAACACTCTGTATTAAAGAGATTTAAAGATCTAAAAGTAAATGAGCGTCCCCCCAACATGGGGGGTGTTGGGGGGACTTCACTGCACCATTTCGATGGTTGAACTATGAGCGATGAATCGTGGTTGTCTAGCTGCACGAACTTCCTAGGGAGTGAAGGGATAGGTCGAACAAGAGGGTAACGATGAACCGTGGTTGTCTAGCTGCACAAAATTCCTATGGAGTGAAGGGATAGGTGGAACAAGAAGTGAGCGATGTGCACAAAATTCCTAGAGAGTGAAGGGATAGGTAGAACAAGAAGTGAGCCATGTGCACGAAATTCCTATGGAGTGAAGGGATAGGTAGAACAAGAAGCGAGCGATGTGCACGAAATTCCTAGAGAGTGAAGGGATAGGTAGAACAAGAAGCAAGCGATGAACCGTGGTTGTCTAGCTGCACGAAATTCCTAGAGAGTGAAGGGATAGGTAGAGCAAGAGGCGAGATGAACCGTCGTTGTCTAGCTGCATGAAATTCCTAGGGAGTGAAGGGATAGGTCGAACAAGAGAGGCCAGAAAAACTACTGAGTCATCCATAAGATTGAATACCGTATATGGAAGGGCGGAATGGATCATCAATAAGAGGGATCGGAAGACTTTCTTTTCCATAGGGATTGCATACCCGTATTAATCACTTCACAGTAGAGAACACAAGGGATGAATGATGATCGACCTACCTCAGTTTTGCATCGGTTTACCCGCTCGAGAAACTAGGCTAACGCTAACAACCCGACTACCAAAATAACTAATCGCTAGACCGTGAACAAACCAAGATGATGTTGTTCTCATGGCTAACAAATACAGCACAACACAGACAAACATTATGATACGAACAACCAGTAAACATCAAAGTTCCATACTTTCAGAACAAATTGTTCACTCCTAAGATTATCAAGTGTTCATCCAGAGTTCAAAATTCAAAAACAAACCTGCAAGATTCTGGATTCGAACTGGGGCAGACCCATTTGAGAGACTGTCAAAGATCCAAACAAATTCCCAAGCAATGCAGCATCCGATACAGCCAATCCCGCCGTGAAACCCGCCGCAAACCCACCCAAGAAGCAGTCACCGGCTCCAGTAGGATCGAGCTCAGCCGCCGTGAACGGCGCAATCTGCAACTGGCCGCCGTTCGAATACACCGTACACCCTTCCTTCCCGTTCGTCACAAGAACAGGGCAAAACTTCCGCACCTCTTCAACATCCATAAACGGCGCTTCTTCAGCAGAAGCCTTCAGAAACCCAATTCGAGGCAATAAATGGAAGAATCCACTCTCCTTCAGGTTCACATGCTCCACAGTGCCATCAATTTCATCAAAAACTCGAATCAAAGACTGAATATCAACAAACACAGCATCACAAATCTCAAGCATCCGCGTAAGAGTCTCGGGGAGAATCTCTCCACCAACGCCCACCGCCATTCCAAAATCAAATCTAAAATCAGGAAGATCCGAAGGCAAAATCGGAGCACAGGCCGCGATCCTTTTCAGAATCCGATCTCCATGGCCATCGCCGGCGATTGAAGAACCGAAAAACGCACGAAACGTAGTCGTCTTCGAATCAGCCACAACGATTGGGGTCTGGTTTGTCGAATAGGCGAAATCAGCCCCCACCTTCGAAACAGTGAGATAGGGAACCGATAAACCGTCAAAGACCGTGGAAATAAACGAGGCGGCGCCGCCGAGAGACTCGGTGACAACACGGGCGTCGCGAATGAGGAAATCATGACAGAAATTGCCGACAATCAGGGCACGAGGAGGGAAATTAGGGAGTGGGTCTTTGGAATCGGTCACCATTTGGGGAATGTATCGGTGGGTGTTGGGATCATGGGTGGAAAGAGGAAGGAAAATGGGCTAAGCCGCCATGGGAGGAGGATCGGAAGAAGCGGAAGAGAAGAAGAGATTTGAAATGGGAATGGATGAATGAATGTAGGAATTTAAGGACAGAAAAATAAGGAGTCGTGTAAGACGGAGAGAATGGTGGCGGGAGAGAGGGCGACGCGCGCCGGTGGAGAGATTTAGATTCCAAAGGTTTTTTTTAAAAAAATTGGTTTTCATGGAATTATTCAATTTAAAGCATTATTTGTTTTACAATTTCTTTTTTTACCCCTTCCGTTTAAAAAATCATTTATAAAAATATTCTCACGTACCTAAAATTAATAAAATTTCAACAAAAAAAAAAATAGTCCTTTATTTAATACAAAATTTATTTGATTTCCAATTAAATTACAACTTTAATCCTTAAAGTTTCAATTAATTTTATATATTAATTTCAATTTTTACTAATAAACTAATTAATTTTTTAAAAAAATTGAAGAACTTGTGGATATATTAGTTACAAAATTGAGTGTTGAGGGACGTTAAATTTGTGATTTAATATTTTATTTATTGATTGATTATTATTCATTTCAAGCTTTTTAGTTAAAAGGGGGGAAATTAATATTACTTTTTTCCTTTTTTATTTATCATTTTATTTTACTTGAAACGTCAAGTTCGGTGCACATTTACTTAATAGGCATTAAATTATGTAAACGCTTTACTCTATTTACTTCAATTTATTGGTTTAATTTGCCAAATTTAGACATAATTTAACTAATATTAGTAACTTATTTTTGGCTGGACAGATCTAGGATCAAAGTGGTGATTTTAACCTATACTGAATAAATATCTTAATTTCTTGGGCTAATCAAACAACAAATGTTTTACTTACCGAATCATTCGCTAGCAGATATTGCATGTTTTAGCCGTTACGTATCATCATCAGTCTTACAGTTTTAAAACGTGTCTATTAAGGAGAGGTTTTCACGCCTTTCACACCGTTATAAGAAATATTCCGTTCCCTCTCCAACCAATGTAGGATCTCACAATCTACTCACTGAAGACTCGACATGCTCGCTGACTCACCTCACCAGTGTAGAGTTGTTCTAATACCATTGGTAACATCTCAAGCCACTACTAGCCGATGTAAACAAATCAAGTAATATATTAATAAACAAATATTTTACATTTTTTTAAATAGGTCACAATACTTAATACTTATGATTAACAATAGTTTGGATACTCCAAAAAATAGATCTAATTCCACTTCCCGCTCCAAATTTTTTATAATTAAATCAAAACACATCTGGAAAAAAAGAGGATACCTCAATTGGGGGAGAGAAATACCACATGACCCAATATATCTGACAAGTCGCACTATAGATCAGCCCACGATGCATCTTCATCTCCAAGACTTCAAAAATGGACTTTTGGAATACCAACCGGCATTAAAGCAAACAAAAAAGAATTAAGTACTATAGCTCACTTTGATGTGGGGAAGTGTAGCTAGGGGTTTATGGTCTTAATAATACTTATTATATAGTACTATAGCACATTTTGATGCGCTAAGTGTAGAAAGAGAGGAAAATGAAGAGAGAGAGAGAAAAAGAGTTACTTGATAAACTTGCAATCTTAAACATTAAAAACTTTTGAAGTTGGTAAAATTTAAATAGTGAACATTGTTGAAGTTATAATGGACCACTAAACTTCTTACGAAAGTATTTAATGCATTACCAAACTTATAAAATTGGTACAACAATTAAAAAAATCCATAAAATGATTTAAAGGAGACACCTACTTGGGTATTAGCTCTCTGTCTAATGCCTTAGCGTTTAGTGCAATACCCCAAGGACCATCTAAAATCATTTAAAATCTCAATTCAGACATATAGTCTTTATCTTAACCCAAAACAAACAACAGAGGGCCACCCCTTCGTCGTATTTTTCACTAACTTCCAACATGGTTAGCAGAGGCGATTTGGCTTTGATCAAACTGCAAGTCCAAGGGTGGAATTAGATTTTAAGAATGACTGACACGACGTATGAGAGAGATAGCGATGCTTAAGGGTAGCAAAAAAAGATACCAAAATGGTCCAAGGGGAAAAGGAAATGATATAGGGAGAATCAATATAGGAAACAAAATGTACTGCTAATCAGTTGATGGTACTTAAGTGAAGCCATCTGCAGATACCACGCATCCGAGTATGATTGAACAGAATTGAGCCAACTCGTTTTTGGGTGTTCTCACTCCAAGGCTTTTGATGGGTTTTCCCTTCAAGATATTCGTCTTAATTGGAACGTTATTGTATATCTTTATAATGTTTTGGAACGTTATTGTATATCTTTATAATGTTTTAGTATTTAATTACTGTTTTTATGTATCTTGTTTCCGTAGTTAATTACTGTTTTTATGTATCTTGCTTCATTCACCCTCATCTTCTACCAATGGAGTTAGTATCTCTCGGCATTAGTCTCTTTTCATATTTTCAATCAAAATTTTGTATCAACTAAAAAACAAAATTCACCCCGTGAACAGGCTCAACAGTCCAAAAACATGAGATCCCATATCAGTTGGGGAGGAGAATAAAACATTGTTTATAAGGATATAGAAACATCTACCTAGCAGACGTGTTTTAAAAACTTTAAGGGAAAAATCAAAACGGAAAGCCCAAAGAGGACAATATTTGCAAGCGGTGGGCTTCAACTGTTACAAATGGGTATCAGAGCCAAGTTCGGGGTAATGTGCCAGCAAGGAAGCTGAGTCCTGAGGGGGGTGGACACGAGGCAGTGTACCAGCAAGGACGTTGGGCCCCAAAAGGGGTGGATTGTGGAATCTCATATCAATTGGGGGAGGAAAACGAAATATTCTTTACAAGGATGTGGAAACCTCTTCCTAGCAGACGCGTTTTAAAAACTTTGAGAGAAAACCCAAGAGAAAAAGCCTAAAGAGGACAATATCTCCTAGCAGTGGGCTTCGGCGTGGGCGGTTACAGAAAAAAAAAAAAAAAAAAACTTTAAAATATTACCAGAACTCTCAAAAGTAAGAAGATACGTACAGAGACTCACGAGTTGAAATCTTCGACTAGTAAAGTGGCTTTCTTCTGCTTTAGAGTTTAGAATACTAGAGAGAAAAGGATCAGAAATTGCATACCTGGTGGAGTAGTTGTCCGTCCTTTGAGAGGTGGGAATCTGAAAGCACAAGGCAAAAAAGACAAAATATCAATGAATGGCACTGACAGAATGGTTAGGTTAGGAATCTGAAAGCACAAAGCAAAAAAGGCAAAACATCAATGAACGTCTCTGATAGAATGGTTGGGTTAGGAATCTGATACCACCTTAAATTTAAATCAGCACTTTTGAGGGATTCCAACAACTGCATTCACAACCGTCGCCGCAGCATTTCCCTTTTCTAATTCCCATGCTTTTTAAATTATTGCTTAAAGAATTGGAGGAACCGTAAGAAGAGGCAACCGGAAAAAGAGTACCCTTCATTTTACTAAAGGTTCTGGCAGCAAACACCAAGAAGATATTCCACAGCAGAAAAATGTTATCATCCACTCACTTTGGGCATTCAACATGAGCTGTTATGCATGAACTAGGACTCTAAACAGGATCTCATCATACTTTGAACAAAATTTGGTTGGCCAGAGGGGAACTTAAACTAACAAGGTCCCTTTTCAACATATTTTACTGAACAGGATTTGGATAAACAAATATATAGAGAATGATGGTACCAGGTTCGCTATTTTTACCATGAACTTGCATCTGCGATCAAATTTGGAACTCTTGTTTATATCAAACCAAATAGACGGTTAAACTATGATACAAAATATTTGGAAGTTAAATTTATATCACATAAATATTTTCAGTTCATTGCAGCGATTACATGAAAACCCAGTACACATCATTTTCACAATAGCAGTCATTACAGGGATTGCATAAATCAAGACCCGTAGAAAATCTACACATTATTTACCGAGCATTAGCAAAATGTCACGCCCATGCAAGTTATAAATGCAAAACTATCTTCGTCAACCTAAGCGAATTCCCCCCATGAAGCTCCTTGGATCAGGACAGTTGCCCGAAAACTGAGCTTGTGAGAAGTCAAATCCAGGGTTCTGCAGAGAAATAAGTAATGCAGATTAAGTTTCAACATTTCATAACATAACTGACACTTGATTCAGGACTTCTGACATCTTGTAGAAAAAGAAATGTGTTTGTGTCTTTATAAGATATCATAACTTTACAATAGCAGGCCATACAAAGACATAACAACACTGCCAATTGGGGATATATAAAACCAGCACCTAATAAAATTTTAGTAATTAACAATAACCCAACAACTCTCTCATCCATAATTAATGAACTACCTTTCACCATGTGTGTAGACTTGATATTCAGAGTAGACAACGTTTGTAGTTACTAAACCAGAATCAGACAAGAAACGTCATATGCAAAGGTTGAATGCAACCCAATAGTTATTCCTATTCCATCCAAAATAAAACTAAAAGCTTAAAAATACGAGTGATGCAAACCATCCCTTAAACTCAGGATAGAGTTATGGGAGCCTTTCTTTCCACTCCATTGGGTTCTATAGGTTGTCTCCAAAGATAGGCTCAAAATGGAGTAGCCTTACAGGGTGAACTCTTGAGCTGGGTCGTGGATGAGGTAAAGACATAATTGACCTCTCTCATATCAGCTTCTACAGTGGAAAAACCAGGTCATCTATCCTACATCAGTTGGTACAAGAGCACGCCAAAGGTTCAAGTCATCCCGTGAGTGCCTTGAAGGAAGACCTCTATCTAAAGGAAAGCAGATAATGTATCACTCGAACATAAAGTTAGTCTATTGAGTTGGGAGTTTTTTCTCACAATAGTTGGGTGCAGTGCCCCTGAATAAGTTTTTAGAGATGTCTCAAATGATATGGGCTTTAAAAAAAGAAAAAAAAAAAACAAAAGAACACTTGCAGAGTATGCTCTCAATGGACCTTAGTGATGTATAGATTAGACCAGGCCCTCTCTTATCGGAAGCAAACTTTGGAAGAATGTTTCAGCTACTCTACATTATTTAAGATAAAAGTTGGAGATCTCATGTTTGAGTTCAGAGAAGAAGTTTTTCTGAAGGATAGGAGGAGGAGGACGCAGGGATTCTCATAAGTTGTGCTACATTGTTAACGACCTCTGGAACTGCAGCTCACACACAGCAACTCAGTCCACCAAGCCTATACTGCAAAACTATCAAATCATTAACATTTTATGGAAAGCTTTCCTATTCTTCTTATCAGGCCAACAACGTGAATATGATTTTCCAGACAGGTTAGCCTCTCCATCTGTCTCATAGTTATGACAAGGCACATTAGCTTCGTCCCAGAAATCAACATCGAGAAGTTATCAGAACATCTCACTAACTATTTACTCATTAAAATAAACCTCCTAACCATGAGCACCAACAACTAAAACCTAGCCTCGTAGGATGAAAAATCTATTTGGATAATTGAAACAATCGATCTTCGAATAAAAACGCTAAACATGCTCAAGAAGGGAAACAAAAAGTACATAAATCAAAACAAACATGGAAAACACAAAAGCATAAGCATATTATCTAGAATACATCAAAAGTCTAGAGTAAAAAAAAGAACAGACCTCCTCTTGAAACCTTTGGAGCATAAGGCGCTTCTGCTCGAGATCAGTGGTGTATGGATCAAGCTGACCCTGACCCTGTATAGGAGAAGCCCATGTCTGACCCTTGTCCCTCTTCTGCAGTGTAATGTGCATTATGTCATCCTCTGCCACCCAAAATAACCAAACAATTACATTACAAAATAGACAAAAGTGGAGCAATTAAAAGGGGAAGATAAAAAAGAGACACCAAAACTCAGTCCCATGAAATTTGTTTGGTGTAAAAGTATAACAACCAAGACTCCATTTAGTCATTAAAGTGAGAATTTGCAATCACCTAAGGTCCAGAAAGAAGAATCCGTCTTCACAGGGCAAGTAAGATGGTGCTGCAAATCAATGATTGAAAGCAATTGGTACGATCATAAACGAAGCAATAGATCAAAATTTCAAAATTAAATCCTTAAAGATGCAACGATACCGACATTGAGATAAGGAGGATTCCCCTTGATGCCAACCTCGACATGCGTAGACTGAATCTTGCAGTAGAATTGCTTCGAATGAACATTTGGAGGCAAATTAATATAAATGTTAACCTCCTCCAGAGTCTGATCCCATTCAAACACTTTCTGACCTGAAAAACCACGACCAAGCGAGCACAGAGATCAAAAGACTCATACAACATTGAATTCATTCGTTCAAATTGAAAATTCAGAAGATCCAATTGATAAGAGTAGAGAGAAAACCGTTGTGGAGGAAGCTATGGCGCTTTTCTGGAGCCAATTTCTCTGCCATTTCTTAGGGTTTGCTTCTCCCCTTTCCCGCGAATTTCACAGAAGCTTTTCTTTTCCCTGTGCCTTCCTTTTTCTCCAACGAGAAGTTCCGGTCTAGCGAAGCTTCTGGTGAATGCATTAGAATTTTATTCCTGAACCAGTCCCAAACTTTTACATATTTGCGTTTTGACCCCTTAGGAGAAATTATTTGAAACTATTTTCAAAATGGGTTTTTCCCAAAAAAATATTATTCGTAAAAATATATTTTAAACATTATTTTTATTTTTCGATTGGGAAAATTATTTAAAACATTTTGTATTATTTTTTTGCAAAAATTAAAGATCCACTGTAGACTCTATTTTTTATATATTTTTTAAAATATTGCTTTCTAAATAACCTAATTTTCATTTTTTAATATAATTTATGTATATATATATATAACATTTTAATTAATTCAATAATATTTCATAAAACTATATTATTTCTAAATAATCAAATTTAAATATTATAATATAGTCGGTAAATTAATAAATAAATTAGTTTTGTACCTTAGGGTTAGCAAAGTAAAGGTAGGGACGGTGAATATAATATCCGTTTCTGATTCAATTTAATTATTTTGAGAGAAATTTCTTTTTACTCCTCTTAATTTCTCATTTAAACAGATGAGTTCCAGCTCGTTCGAAGATGGTGTTGAATAAGGTAGGAAGTTGATTAGGTGACATGTTGCGAAAATGGTATAAAAAGAAGTTCCCCATAAACTAAGCAATACTTTCCCCTTCATTTCCGGAGTAAATCTTTCTCTTGGAAACTTCAATAGACAAACTCCATCATAGGCTTCTTTACTTTTCTTTTTAATTAGCTTTTTTTTAATTAAAATTATAAATTCACCCCTAACCTAAATATATTATTATCCAATTTCAATTAAATCTAAAAAATTCTCCAATTAACCCGTTACAGTATTACATTATTTATAAAGTGTTTATACTGTACAAGGAATGTTTCATTCTTCTCTCAAACCGACGTGGAACCCCTTAGAAGCTACCATTGTTGTTGTACACCACCTGATGTTTGGCTTTGATACCATTTTAAATATCCCAAGTCCACTGTTAGCAAATATTGTTTGTTTTAACCTGTTACTTATCGCCATCAGCTTCACGGTTTTAAAACGTGCCTATTAAGGAGAAGTTTCTACACCCTTATAAGGAATGTTTCGTTTTCCTCTCCAACAAATTATGACATCGGGCGGTGTGCCAACGAGGATGTTGGGTCCCAAGTAGGTGGGTTGTGAGATCTCATATCAATTAGAGAGTGGAATGAATCATTTCTTATAAGAATGTGGAATTAACTCTTTGTTAGATCCATTTTAAAATCATTAGGCCATATATATATACCATTTATATTTATAATAAAAAATAGGATAAATTACATTTTTAATATATTAAAAAAATACACATTTTTAATTACATTTTAAGATATAATAATTAATAATAAAAACTTTACCCTATTTTTATTATTAAATATGTATATATATATATAGACAGATGTCTTTCTTGATTACCAACGACAATAATAACAATTTTTAATTAAAAAAACACCCATTAATACGACTAAAAACATTAAATTAATAAAAATTGTCAGTATAAGATATTCCAATTTGAGGCAACATTATTGAGTAGTTTAGATTCTAGAAATATTCTCCAAATCTTCAAAACATAAAAACATATATATATATATATATATATGAGCTTAAACGGATCATGGTCTTAAAGAGAAAGGCTTAAGCTTTCGAATAATTCCATCAATGGCGGACGAATCAATGAACACAAATTTAGACGCAAATGGCGAACTGGTAGCTGTCATATTCGGAGTCACCGGGTTGGTCGGAAAAGAGTTGGCCAAAATGCTTCTCTCAACCGCTGGCTGGAAAGTCTACGGCGTCGCACGGCGGCCGGATAATATCAGCCCCATCTCCGATCCCAACTTCCACTTCATTTCTTGCGATTTGCTCGACCGCCGTTCGGCTCACCTGAACCTCTCACCCGTCCGCCACGTCACCCACATGTTCTGGATCACTTGGGCCGCCCAGCTCCGGTTCGATTCCCAGGATTGCTCTGACCAGAACAAGGCCATGTTGGCCAACGCCCTCGATGCTATTCTCCCGTCGGCGTCGGCCCTCCGCCACGTCTCTCTGCAGACCGGGGTCAAGCATTACGCTTCTCTCACGAGCTCCACCAGCAGCGGCGGTGGGGAGGTGGTTTATAGTGAGGACAGCCCGAGAGCGGAGTCCGGGAATAATTTTTACTATGTGTTGGAGGATCTCCTCCGCGAGCGGCTGTCCGGCTACCGGAGAGTGGTGGCGTGGAGTATTCTCCGACCGGGTTTGATACTGGGTTGTTCGAACCGGACTTTCTTTAATTTTATGGGGAGTTTGTGTGTTTATGGCGCGATTTGCAAGAAGTTGAAGATGCCATTTGTGTTCGGCGGCACGGCGGCGTGCTGGGAGGAGGTTTATATCGATGGCTCCGATGCTCGGCTCACGGCTGAGCAGCACGTGTGGGCCGCAACACAAGCAGTTGAAATAAATGGTACGTAACACCTACATCGAGCTGTCATAAATATAAATATAAATTTTTTTTTATAAGAGACAATTTCATTCCTAATTGATAAATATAAATATAAATTTAATATCTGTAAAAATACAGCCATCACAGACAGGGAAGCATTCAACGTGTGCAACGGGTGGAGCTTCACGTGGAAGGAGATATGGGGGGCGGTGGCGGAGAAGCTTGGCGTGACGGTGGGGGCGGAGGACGAGAGGATGTTTTCGCCGGAGTTCCATTATACGGAAGCTATGGCGGAGAAAGGGATGGTGTGGGCGGAGATAGTGGAGGAGGAAGGGCTGGTTGCGACGGAAATGGGGGAGCTGGCGAATTGGGGATTCTTGGACAGCTTGTTTAGGCTGCCGGAAAAAATGGTGGCGAGTCGAGCCAAATCCGACCGGTTAGGGTTCACTGTAAAATACAAGATGTTGGACTCCATCTTGTATTGGATTGATGTCATGAGACACGACAAATTGATTCCGTCTCCTTAATAATATTACGGTTTTTTTTCTTTTAAATTATAAAAAATATTGTTATTTAGTTTTAAAAAATATAATATTATTTCTAATTTTTAATAAGTATTCTATAAAACAATCGCTTTAATTTATATTGTTTTTGTTTTAGTTTAAGTATTAGAATGTGAGAAATTAAATCAACTTTTAAAATATTTTTTTTAATAAAGTTGGACCTTAATTTATTATTATTATTATTTATTTATTTTATATAGTTGGGAATAGCGGCGGAGATTGTGATGCTCCACATGTAGCCGTTGACCGACGGATTGCATTATAATTAATTAAAGGAAGCGCCAGACAAGACTTAAGATATATTTTTTTAATATTATAATATATATGTGTGTGTGTATTTATTTATTTATATATAAAGAACCGAGTTAATAGTTGTCCTGTTCTTTGCCATAATAAATTATTAATTAATATATTTTATATATATAAAAGATTAAATTATAAAATTTGGGTGTATTGTATAACTTCATAACATAACCTAAATCATACAAATTGGGTTGCAGGTTGACATTTCTCTTCTCGGGTCAATCCGACCAACTTGAAAAATAAGGTTACAACCCTAATTTTAAAAAAATTTAAAATATTTAACGTTTATTATCGATATGAGTGATGTGATGTGACTTGTAAATATTTAATATTTCAAATACTATAAAGGATTGAATTGGGTTGGATGGTAAATTCTATTCAAGCTGTTTGGATCGTCAGTCCGTTCAAGTTGGTCTAAGATGAAAGGGTATGTTGGTCTTAGAAATGAAGATAACCCAATATTTAGCCGTTCAAGTTGGTCTAAGATTGAGTTGGGTTGGATTGTAAATTCTATTCGGACCGTTTGGCTTGTCGGTCTGTTCAAGTTGGTCTAAGATGAGAGGGTAGGTTGGTTTTAGAAATGATGATAACCCAATATTTAGCCGTTCAAGTTGGTCTAAGATTGAGTTGGGTTGGATTGTAAATTCTATTCGGACTGTTTGGCTTGTCGGTCTGTTCAAGTTGGCCTAAGATGAGAGGGTAGGTTGGTTTTAGAAATGAAGATAACCCAATATTTAGCCGTTCAAGTTGGTCTAAGATTGAGTTGGGTTGGATTGTAAATTCTATTCGGACCGTTTGGCTTGTCGGTCTCAAGTTGGTCTAAGATGAGAGGGTAGGTTGGTTTTAGAAATGATGATAACCCAATATTTAGCCATTAGAAAGAAAGCCCATTGGCTGACTTATCTTATTGAAATTAAATTAAAAATCTAATTGTTTAAATTTACTCAAATAAATTTATAAAATACAAATAAGTTAACTTATTAAAAGTTAATTTAGATTAATTTAATACTTTATAATTACATAAAATTGTTTAAATTAATCCCAAAAATATTATGTTTTTATTCGAAAATTTGATACTTTATAATATAAAATCTTAAACGGAACAATTTTAATTTTATTATTATTATCTTTTTAAAAAGTTATTAGAGCTAACATTCCAAATAGGGTTTGACTTTTTTTTAGAGCACGAAGACTTAATTTACATAACATCAACTACTTTGACTTTGATTCTCATATATATATCTATATATATATATATATATGTTTACGAGTGAGATTTGAACGTTCAGTACAATATAAGAGTGTTCATATGACCTAAGAACTCGACCCATTCAGACTATCCAACTCATATTTAATGTAGAACTTAGAGGTGTTCGTATGACCTAAGAACGTGAACAATCCAAACTATCCAACCTAAATTTAATGTATGGTAGGACATACAGATGTTCATGTTAAGATTTTTTTCCGTTTGGGTTGGATTGATTTTTTTTTTAAATCGAAAATTCGGTTCGCGAGTTGGACATTTTTGTGGTCAGATTAACTCACCAAGTAAACTCCATTATGGTTACTATGGTCACCCACCAACCTCAGATAAGTCCAAATGATTTTCCCAACCTAACTCGACTAAAATTATTGACTAAAATTATAAAATAGACGTTTGACCGTGAAACTCTCTAAAAAAAATCATACGTGCACATAAACATCAAAATACAATTTTAAAGTTTTTAATAAAATAATTTAGAGCAATTAAAGTGTTTAATTAATTAATCAAATATCATTTATAAAATTGCAAATCATTATAAAGGATTTTAAAAAATAAAAATAAACTAAAAAAAAAATATTCCCAATTGAAATATTTTATTGCTTAAACAGGAAAGTGACAAATATGTCAAATAAACCTAATCTTATCCATAGTTTAATTTAACAAATAATTATGTTTAATACTTTATTTTATTAAAAAAAACTATAAATTCTTTTGACCAGAAATACAGTCAATTATGTTATTAACTTATGATTTTGACTAATTAATTATTTTTAAAAAATAAATTGGGTAATTAAAATTTTATAAATCAAATTTTATTTAAGCTTTCTCCTTCCCTCTTAAAATTAATATTTTAATACCTCATATTTTAACCATTATTTACGAGTCGTTTATCAACATGGTGCTAGATTGTAACTAGCGGGCCTCTTGTATATTCTCCTCTCGATATCAGGCCTCATTTTTTAATTGTATCGAGACTTGTCTCTTGCTATTATAAAAAAATACATAAATTTAAAACAGTTACTGCAACCAATGCATTATATCCAGATAGTCGGTTGAATAGGCTATGAAAGTTATTGTTCGAGTATTGGAAGAATGAAGCTCATGCTCTTTAAAGAGTATATATTCAGCAAGTCCGATGACCCAACTCTTTTTTTCTATAGCACCAATGATAAAAGCATCTTGACTAGAATTGCAAGGGAAGATTAACTTTATCAACTTTTAAAAATAACACTAAATTAAAAAAAATATATACAATTTATCTAAAAAATACACCTTTAAAAAGTTTCAATACCATTAAAATATTCAAAAAAAATCTAAAAATTCTAAAAAATACTTTTAAATTTTTTTAAAACAATTAAAAAATATATTTCACCATTCCAATTCTAAAAGTACTCGTGAACTTTCAATATTAATATTAAAAAATTTAGATATAATTCATGAGTTGTCAATAGACGATTTTCATCTATATATTTATATTTTTAAAAAATTTGTAAGGTTAACAACCATTTAAATTCATTGAAATAATTTAAAACCTTTTTTTGGGAAAAAAAATAAAATTCGCTTAATTATAGTGAATGGGAATTAGGACGTAATTTAATATTAGCCGCCATATTTAAAAACATTGGGCGTAGCCTGGTATTGCTATTAACCAATAAAAACTCGCCACCTCATTTAAATAATCATAATCTTATTTCTTGTGGGCCCAAACTTAATTGCTGGCGACATGTCATTGGCTAAATTGCCATTCAGTAGTGTCCTTTCGACCGTACGCGATTGCAGCACAATAAACAATTAAGAAAATAAAAAATGTCGAATCGTAATTAGTTCGTGAAATGAGGGTAAGATTGTAAATTCACTTAAATTGTGATGATATTTTGAAAGAGAGCGGCTTTGAAACGGAGCTGAGAGAAACCGGCGTTTGTTTAGAGAGAATTTCTGCTCATGATATCTTTTGCGGATTTTTCCATTACGGGATTTTCCTTTCTTCCTTTTTCTGTTTGATTATGAGGATAATCTGTAGGGTTTCGCCTCGAGATTTTGATTCTACTTGATTCACTGATCGTTCGTTTTCTTTGGATTGAAACTGTGTTTTTGTTTTCCCGGGAAAATTCGACACCATGGGAAAGCTTTCGTTCAAGGATTCGCTTAAAGCGCTTGAAGCCGATGTTCAGTATGCCAATACTCTGTAAGTCTTCTTCTCCTTTCTCTCTGCGAATCATAATTTTTGTTTTGTATGGATTTTTCATTGGTTCAGTAACCTTTTTGGCGACAAATCCCCCTTTAATAAGCTGAGAATTAAGAAATTGAGTCCTCCATGTTTATTGCTTGATTTTCCTTGTTAACTCTTGTTTTCTCGCTCTGATTTTCTCTAGAAGATACATATTCTACTGTCGACTGTACAAGGAACTGTTTACTTCTTGAAACTGTCTACATTGTAGAGTTTGAACAAGCAATATAAATATCCTTCAGTGAATTGCCGCAGTGGTGCTTAGTTTCAGTGATAGGAAAGAAATTTAATCGTTGATTGCTCTTTCTGTCGGCTGTATAAAAGTTGAGCAGTAGGGAGTGTCAGATTGATAGCAGCATCATATGAATTAGCATTGGAAATTTGGTGATTGTTTATTCGTTTTGTTTGCAGTGCTTTAGACTGTCCAAGAGAGAGTGATGGGGCTTGTGTTCAAATGAGATTATCATACAGCCCTGCTGCTCCCTTTTTTCTTTTTCTTGTTCAATGGACTGATTGTTACCTTGCTGGTGCATTGGGGCTGTTAAGAATCCTTATCTATGTGGTATGTATGCCTTTTCATTTTGGTTCTGTTTGGCAATAATTACCAGTTGGGTATTGGTCTTAGTTTTGTGTGTTTATGTTGTCTTGATATTCCTTTTCCATTGAAGTCCCTTATCTTTACTTGTGCAACCATGCTATGATGCAGACTTATCCAGATGGAAAGACCACCATGGCCATTTATGAGCGTAAAGCTAGCATTAGAGAATTTTATGGTGAGTGAAATTTTCAGAGTGCAGCCTTAATGAATGAACTTTTACTTTATAAGTTTTGAATTCTCAACTTCTTGTTGTTTTCTGGTGGGGGTTTTAATGGATTGGCCTTCTCATTCACAGTGGTAATCTTCCCTTCTCTTCTGCAACTTCAAAGGGGCATCACAGAATTGGAAGATAGAAAACAAAAAGAGGTCTGCAATGCCAGATACAAAAGAAGGGATGAATTTGGAAGGGGGAAACTTTCAGAAATCGACATAGAAAGAGAAAAGGAGTGTGGAATTTGCATGGAGATTAACACCATGGTTGTCTTGCCCAACTGCAACCATTCTTTGTGCTTGATGTGTTATCGAGACTGGTAAGAATTTGTCTGTGATTCCGTCATGTTTGATAGTTTCTTTGGCAGAGTTCACAAGTGCTTTAAAGAGAGTAGATAAGTTTATTCTTCAGACGTGCCAAAAGTTATCCACTTTTAGGACCAGCAATATCTTTTTCAACATACAAAAAGACATCTGTCGTTAAGTGTTCGAGATAAAATGAATCATTTGGGTAAAATTGAATTCTCTGTTGGATCTGAAAAATCTTCTTACCCATCCTGATGTATTTAGTTCGCATTTATTGCTAGCATTCTCAAGACCCTTCAATCTTTCTCTGAATGACTAGAATCTTGTCTGTCTGTTTTATCCTCCAGGCGCAATCGTTCTCAGTCATGTCCGTTCTGTCGGGATAGCCTCAAGAGAGTCAACTCCGGCGACCTCTGGATCTTCACAGATAAGAGTGAAATGGTTGATCTAACTTCGATTTTGCAGGACAACCGCAAGAGACTATTTACATACATTGAGAAGCTGCCATTGGTTGTTCCTGATCCAGTGTTTCTTCCTCTTGATTCTCATATTAGGTGAGAGAATGTGGGACACCCTTTTCAATCTGTGAGTATTAGATGAACTTTCTGTATATATAATTATAGCTTGGTGAAATCAGTTTGGAAATGTAAAAAGGTTTTTCTGCCTGATGTTAGGGAAGGATGTTGCTAATTTTCAGTTTTTTAGCTTATGAATGTGAATGCTTTTGGTTCACCCAATAGTCTCATTTCACCCTCCCATTAACCCATGCAAATCTTCATTCAAATATCACAAAGTCAAATTATTGATCAAGATATACATATGTTCATATAGCTGTGGATAAGGACAGATTTGTTTTGTAATCTTATGCTTAGGTGGATCTGGATGCTATTTGTTAGGATATTTTAGGCTTGTCTAGATATTTTGGTACATCGGCAGCCTCGAGCAGCCACTTGGTGCCTATTTGGTTCAGCAACTGTTGGAGAGGATCATTATATTCTTAAGATACGTAGAAATGTAGTGATGAATTCGATATTGATTTAAATTTTATGTTCAAAGGAACTCCGATTGGGTTTTTCATTTTCTCAGGTTTATACTTTTTAGACTATTCTATAAGTTTTTTGCTACTTTGCTAGAAATTTGGAGAAAAAATAATTTTAATATTTAGTTGATTTTAAATAGATATAGATCATAATTTATTTATGAAAATTTAGTGTGGTGGGACATAAATTGATTTTTTCTCAAATAAGGAGTAGATATTTAGGAATCAGAATTATTTGTACATTAAATGAAGGAAGCAAACAAATTTGACCATCAAAAAGCTTGTGGCTATTGATGTGATATGTGTATCAATCCAAAGTTTTGGTTAACGAATGTTTAATTTAATTTAGCCTAAATTTTTTAATTCTATTGAATTGAAGATTAATACGTGTAATTGATCCTAGATGCTAATATGGAAAAAAAAAAAAAAATAGATAAAAGAAATCTATTAAATATGGAATCTTTTAAAATTGGATTAATTTGGCACTTTTTTCAAAATTAATATATTATTATTTACTTAATAATTGATATATGAATAATATATCGCATTACTAAGTCCAAATTTTCTAATTAACAAATTAGACTTCAAACACAACTCAACAAATCCACTAAAAGATTAATTTTGTAGTTCACCACTTGGAACACTTGGAACACAGAAAAACTATAGATTAAAATGAAACTAAGGTTAAGTGTTCACAACTTGCCGCTGCACCTTTTTACCCTTTTTTTCAAAAAAAATTCAGAATCCGAGATAATTCTTGAACACCAGCATAAACATGCATCATGCATCGACGAAGAACATAGAGAGGTAAGAACTCAAAGATAAGTGAGCCAAACCCAAAATATAACACGTTCGGGTGGCACCAACAAGATCCAACAAAGGTAAGGCAATTCATTTTGTGGCAGAGTGCTCCACTCCGCCGCAGTCTCATGAACTGAACTTTGCAGTATCCCCTCTTATCAGCTGATGAATGAATGGAAATACACCGACTGATCGAAAAACTCGTAAACGCAAAACCCAAAATTCTTGCAAGAAAATGAAACCTCCCCCTACAAAATCCAACCTTACATATAACATTCACAACAGAGCAGTGATGGCAATAATAGTAAATATGTCATGAGATAAGATAGTGTGCTTACAGAAGATGTCATTGCCACCCACAACCATACACTGTTTTACATTCTATCTTCTCTCCTCCGAGGGGCACAGGTGATGATTTCATCAACTCTAAGAATCATCTCAGCTGCCTCTGTTGCAGAAAGCAATATGGCTTGCTTGACTTTGAATGATTCTGAAATGCCAAGTTCTGCCATATCTCCAACCTGTCATATGATAATCACAGTAGGGGTTAGAGAGAGAATTATCGATATTATGAGACAAAATCAGAGGTAATGACTACAATCTATTGATAAATTTTCAGTTCACAGCTATATATTGTAATGGCCCAAACCCACTGCTAGCAAATATTATCATCTTTAGGCTTCCCCACCCTTATATATAATGCTTTGTTCTCCTCCCCAAATTTGAGATCTCACAATCCACTCCCCTTCAGAACCCAGCGTCCTCGCTAACATTTATTCCCTTCTCCAATCAATATGGGACCCTCCAACCCACCCTCCCCCCCCCCCCCCCCCCCCCCCCCCCCCCCCCCCCCCCCCCCCCCCCCCC